AATTTTCAAGGTAAATTCAAACTAGAAAACAAAAACAAAAACGAATTCAATTAAGCGAAATGAAAAATCTGAAAAATCTGATTAATTGAAAAATGTTTGCAGGTGATCAACGACAACGACAACAAAAATTCATTCGTTCGTTTTTTCACTGTTTTTTGACGCCAAAAAATCTATATCTGATACAGCAAATGAAACGAAAACCAGTCGCATAAAACTTTTCAAGATTTTTTTTTGCGTAAAAAATGCAGACACCTGTTGTTGTTGACATGGGATATATATTTTATTTTTAACATTGAAAAACATGTAAACAAAAATGAAATGAAAGAAATTCATCTGTTACTATCGGCCATTGTCGTCTTTCTTTTCTTTCGTTCGTTCATCAATATCGATATTAACGAAAATTTTGTCAATGAATGTGATGTATTTGATCTTTGATTTTTGATTATATGATTTAACACAACTGAATCAAAATGGTGCAAACTTGGTTGACATTAAATGAATGAAAATCAGTTTGTTGTGAAAAGATTGAGAGAAAGAGAAAAACATTGGAATTTTTTTTTTTTTTTTTGCCAGTCCAAACAACAACTACTACAGCGAACGAAGTAAGTTTTACAGATAAAGAAACGCAGAAAACATTGAAAAATTTATTCATGTTTCTTTTTTTTGATTCAATAATGAATATTGATGACAATTTTTTTTTCGAAACGAAAAAATATGGAAAAAACGAAACGAAAATATGAAAAATTCATGATCGAATCATCAAACAGCATCTTTACCACTAATTCTTCGTTTGATGATAATTTTGAATGTCCTCGACAACTTGTTGATTGAAATAATTTTTTTTCCATTTCATTTCATAAATATTATTTTTCAAACTAACTAAACTGATGAATGAATGAATGATGATGATGAACATGTTTATATTTTTAAATATTTTCAAGTGTAACTTCTTTATAAAAAAAATGAATGAAATGAAACAAACATGCGAACGAGAGAATGTGAGATGTTGATGAAGAGAAATCTGATGATAATGATGATGGCGATGAAAAGCTAAACAAAAAACTTGTTGTTGTTGTTGTTGTCGGTGATAATTAAAAATTTTTTGTAATTTTTTTTCTTCTTCTTCTTCTTTTTTTCCAAAATTCAATTCATTTTTTAATTATTCGTCATTATCATTATCGATGATGTCTATTGTTGTTGTTGTTGTTGTTTATTGCATATGATTTGTTTTGTTTTGTTTTGAAGAGAGAAGTGAAGAAGAAACTTCAAAGTTTTTTTTTTGTTTTTCAAAACAACAAAAAAAAAAAAATGATTTAGCAATTTTCAACTTTTTTGATGATTTACATGTTTTCTTTTTTGCAACCATTGTTTTCATCAACTGGCAGTCAATTATCTGGTTTGTAAAAAAATTTCATTTTTGAAAATGCATATTTTTTTCCATCAATTTGGCCAAATCAATCTTGGTGCTAAAAAACCAAAGAATTTCCAAAGAATTTCACCGAAATTTTCAGAAAAAAAACTAACGAATTTTCTTTTGGCTGCTGTCAATCCAAAAAAGATCCTTCCAAGTTTTATTTACTTTTCCAAAAGAAAATGATGCCGGATTTTTTGATGATTTTTTTCCACTATAGTTCATATTTCTTTATCCATTTTGTTTGTTTGTTTGTTTTCTGTTAATCCCTTCTCTCTCTCTCTCACTTTCACTTCTTTGTTTCAAATGTTTCAAATCAAATCAATTTCGCTTGATGAAAGTAAAAAAATTTCCCTTTTTTTCATCTTCAAACGATTTGAAATTGAAAACGAAAAAATGATAAATAATTTATTCCAAATCATGGATTCATCATCATGGATTTCATTTGGACATTTGATAACAGATACAAACACACACTCAAAACACACAAATACTTGAAAGAAACATTACATTACAAATCGATATGTCGATCGATCGATCGATCAATCGATTGATTGGAATGATGATGATGATTATGATTAAAAAAGTTGATAATCAATAATTATGATTATCAACTATATTTTGTTTGTTTGTTTGCCATCCATCTATCTATCTATCCAAGTATCTAATTTAACCATCCGTTTCTCTTTTTGGATTTTTTCTTTTTTCACCATCCAATTTTAGTGTCTTAGTTTTTTTTTAGTGTTGACGTGTGTGTGTTTGTGTCATTGAGAGATGTGCGGCCACGAAGCCAAATGATGATAATTGTTGCATTTTTTTTCTTTTTCTGTTAATCTGC